GCTGAACCATTCTGGATCTGAAACAAGAGGCAGTGAAACAAGAGGAGAAAACTTTCTCCCTCCTCCCAACCAGCGTGCTGAGAAATCAAGCCAACAAGTACCCTTGGCTCAATCCAGATCCTTTGGGCAAGGCCGGCCATGAGGCTTCTGTTGCAAGAAAACACAGCCCTGCGTTACTCTCACGCTTCATGTATTTTGCTGGATCGAAACCCAGCTATACTGCACTGTGAGCAGCATGCAAAGAGCCGCTGATCGTGCCCAACAGGTTATTTCCACCAGTGTGGCCATTCCCAGCCACTTCTGAATGTAGGCAGACCGCTACTTCTGCCTGCAATCCCGGTGTGGCCATTGGGTCTCCACGAGGGAGTAGCCGCCTGCTACTGGCAAGACGTGCCAGGACTGGAGCCTAGTGTGCAAAAGCATGTAAAAACAGTCCTAGTTGAATAGGTCTGTGCATTTTATCTCCAAACCTGTATAAACAGCACCCCGGGAAGGGAATCCAACTAGCATATTTATCAACTGCGCCAAATCTAGACAATTAGTTGTTTTCTTTAATTTAAAACTAATTTTGTCTTACCAATTTAAATTAGAGCCCCCAATAGGATAATTTCCTCACAATGGTAATTTTGTTACATGCTTTTCATTAATCCAATCATATCTTCCGTAATATTATTTGGCAGCCTATTGAGCCTCGAGTAACCACAGGGGTTCGTAGGCATTGTCTCAGCTCTGATAAAAAAGCAAAATGAGTCCAATTAAAAATTCTTTGAGTATGGTATAATATACAAAATTCCCCAAAGTCGGGACTGAACCATCGTCATTCTGTCCACATATACCGTCTGTGTGCAACAGTGGGAGAGATGCTAATGTCAACATTATAGACAAAGACAACTTAGACAGACGGACCATTTCTAGAATATATTTAAAGGCGGCTTTTAGGTTGGCTGAATGTTTTTCATGTTTGGAAATTTTTGTTCATGACTTTGGGGAATTGCTTACAGAACAGTTTGACTTTGCTCCACCGGTCTTTTTTCTCAGCATCTGCAACATATATTCAATCAAAGCATCCTGGAGAAAAATGCCGCGGCCCAACACAATAGCAAATAATTGTTGACATAATATTGCTAACAATGAACAGGGGACAGATACGGCTCTGACTGCAGAAAAGGTCTGCGAGCGGGAGTCTCATAAAAGCCCTTTTTGTCAGAGGTAGACGCACTGGCTCATAGACGCACTAATTTGGGAGGTGGGGAAGAAACAAGCAGGAATTAGGTGGATGCGAAAGTCTCCGAAAAACAATCCCTCGCATCCTACGTGGCCGCTCCGGAGGGAATCCTTCAACACACGTTAGAGGAGAAACGAAGAAGGTGCAAATCCATCAAACTAGACAACGGAGTCAAACGAGAAAATAAAAATGAATCCAAGCCAAATAACGTGCAGAATTAAATGGAAAAGCTCCATGCCCCGTTTTGTGCGTGTACCAGAGCCCATGACTCAACAGAAAGGGGTAGTAACCCGGACCCCGCTGAGCTTCCAGGTGTGAGCACAGATGTGCCACCTTTACCCACCCCAGGGGACGATGTCAAATGTAACCAGCCCCTGGATAATGAATTCACCAGCTTGGGTTTTCTCCCCCCAGTTCTTCTTCCTTTGGCTTTCCCCCATTGCAGCCATTTTTAAATAGTGCCTGGCACTTCCTTTTAACCATATACTATCTCGTCCTATTTGCCCTTCCACTATACCCTGCCTGCCTGGCTGCTACATTTGCTGCATCGTGCCATGATTCATGGGTATTTTGTACCTCTGTATTTAGGTGTATGGTTATGAGCACAGTTGCCTGTTCCACACTCCTTTGTATAGATGAGGACAAAGAAGTCCATTTTCCCCTTGGGTTCTCTGACGTGGGGTACAAACTGAGTTTCATAGATGTTAGGGTCGGAAGGGACCTATTAGATCATCGAGTCCGACCCCCTGCCCTGGGCAGGAATGAGTCCTGGGGTCAGCTGACCTCATTCCTGCCCAGCATCCAAACCGTAGCGTGTACATGGTTGCATAGAAGCAATAGTTAAAACTGCAACTCCAGAGAAGAGGTTCAATCTGCTACCTCTCTGCAAATGCAATGCACTTGGAGAACGGGTGGGTCGAGGGGAGAGTCGCAGTGTCAATAATCTCTTTGCAACTGCGCTGCACTCCTGAGAACTTCTCTGCCTTGGTTAGACTTCCTCTGGGATGCTCCGACTGATGAGCTCCCCTCTTCATTCATCTACGATAAGCAATGGCAAAAATCGTCGCCTTGCATTTCCACTTCAAAAGAGACGCACACAGACCAACAGATTTTTAAGCCGAGCTCCACAATTAAATCAATGAGGAATTTTGCTTAAAATCTGATGGTACAACATGGCTTCATAATCCTTTTTTTTCATTAGGTACCATGTTTTTGCATTCTGTTTCTATATCTGTACTGAGCTATACTATGGCTGTGCACTGTACAATGGGAAGGGGATGCATTAGTCCCATGTGCTGTCCTTAAACATGCCTGATATGAGAGCGCAGCATATGAGTACGGAGGAGAGGAATGGGAAATTTGCTCTGAATCTGATACGCAGCAGAAATGTAAAGTTCAAGCTGATTGCTTTAATGAAAGAACTGATCATGTGCATGGTCCTTCGTCTACAAATCCCTTCTGTGCTCCTCAATTACTACCTTATTAAAAAGCACACCTGCAGTGGCTTTAGCCGTAGACTCCTGCATTGTAGCATAGCCTTTAATCCTCCATTCTGCCTACGTTATACAGAGAGATAGTGGAACCGGCTGGAAACAGCTGTTTTGGGGGCTTTGGGAAATGCCAGCATTTTGAAATCGGTTGTTATTCCAAATAGGAACAAAACCCCTTATATTTAGACATTTCCTGCAAAATGACCATTTTGGAAAGTTTTTATTCAGAATGATCACACAGTTTCGTGGCACATTACGGCAAAGCATTACGATAAAATATATTTCAAGAGAGCCTATCTGATAGCATTAAATGCGAGCTAGAAAGATCATGTCAAAATTAATATTTTACAATACAGAAGGAAAAAGGAAAGAAGCAGAAATGATATGCTTCTACTGGTCTATGATTTTCTAGGCTGGTGTGATAATGTCCAAACAAAAAAGTTCGGGCACTGTCAAAAGGAAACCTGTTAATATTAAAAAAAAAAAAACATATTTTTTTTTAAAAATGAAATGAGAAAGCTAAAAAACCATTCACATCGACCCTTTCCCATTCCAAATGTTATAAGCAGCAGCACGTGCCTGCTGAA